TTAATGCCTCTCCATTGGTATTTTGATAGGGATTGCATTGACTCCAGATTGCTTTGGGCAGTATGACCATTTTAACAATGTTAACTCTTCCTATCCATGAATATAGAATAGCTTTCCATTTATTTTTGTCTTCTTCAATATTTTATAGTTTTCAGAGTATAGGTCTTTCTAGGTTAAATTTATTTCTGGGTATTTAATTCTCTTTGGTGCAGTTGTAAATGGGGTTGATTTCTTAGTTTCTGCTGGTTCATTATTTGTATATAGAAATGCAACAGGTTTCTGTACATTTATTATGAATCTTACAACTTTACTGATTTCATGTATTTGAATAGTTTTTTCATGGAGTCTTTAGGGACTTCTATCATGTCATTTACAGATAGGGACAGTTTTACTTCTTCCTTACCAATTTGTATACTTTTTATTTTTCTTGTCTGCTGTGGATAGAAGTTACAGGACTTTGTTGAATAAAAGTGGTAATAGTGGGCATCCTTTTCTTATTTCTGGTTTTAGAGAAAAAGTTTTCAGCTTTTTGCCATTTTGATGTTAGCTGTAGATTTATCATACATACCCTTTATTATGTTGAAGAATATGCCCTCTGTACCCACTTAGTGGAGTGGTTTTACCATGAATAGATGTTGAACTTTGTCAAATGCTTTTTTTGCATGTGTTTAATGATCAGACAGTTTCTATCCTTCCTTTTGTTAATGTGGTATATTACATTGATTTGTTGATACTGAGCCACCCTTGCATCCAGGATTAAATCCTACTTGCTTGTGGTGAATGATCTTTTTAATCTATTTTTGAATTTGACTTGCTCATATTTTGTTGAGGATTTTTGCATGTATGTTCATCAGTGATATTGGTCTGTAATTTTCTTTTTCTGTTGTGTCCTTGTTTAGTTTTGGTCCAAAGTAATGCTGGCCTCAACGAATGAATTTGGAAGCTTTCCTTCCTCAAAGATTTTTTGGAATAGTTTGAGTAGGGGAGGTATCAGCTCTTCTTTAAATGTTTGGTAGAATTCACATGTGAAGCTATCTGGTTCTGGACTTTTGTTTGTTGGGAGTTTTTTGATTACCAATTCAATTTCAGTACTAGTAATTGTTCTGTTCTAATTTTATATTTTGTTCTGGTTCAGTCTTAGAATATTTTATGTTTCTAGGAAAGTATTCATTTCTTCTCAGTTTTCCAGTTGGTTGGCATGTAATTTTTCACTATAATCTCTTATAATTACTTGTATTTCTGTGATGTCAGTTGTAACTTCTCTTTCATTTCTGACTTCGGGTGCTCTGTTTTTTTCTTGATGAGTCTAGCTAGAAGTTAATCAATTTTGTTTATCTTTTCAAAGAACCAACCCTCAAAGTCATTGATCTTTTATATTTTTTTAAAGTCTCTATTTCATCAGTTTCCACTCTGATCTTTATTTCCTTTCTTCTACCAACATTGGGCTCTGTTCTGCTTTTTTTCTAGTTCCTTTAGGTGTAGGTTTAGATTAACATGTTTCTTGCTCCTTGAGAGAGATCTGTATCATTATAAACTTCCCCCTTAGGATATCTTTTCCTGAATCCTGAAGATTTTGAAACAATTGTATTTCTATTTTCATATACTTCAAGTATTTTTTTATTTCTTTGATGACCTATTGGTGTAGTAGCATGCTATATAGCCTCCACATGTTTGTGTTTTTTACATTTTTTTTCTTGTAATCGATTTCCAGTTTCATATCATTGTGATAAGAAAAGATGCTTGATGTGATTTTAATAATCTTAAATTTATTGAAGCTTGCTTTGTAGCCTAACACGATCTATTCTGGAGAATGTTCCGTGTGTGCTTGAAAAGAATGTGTATTCTACTGTTTCTGGATGTGATGTTCTGTACATATCTGTTATTTCTGTTTGGTCTGATGTGTTGTTCTAATCTACCATTGCCTTATTGATTTTCTGTCTGTATGATGTATCCATTAAGTGAGGTGTTAAAATCTTCTATTAGACTGTGTTACTGTCAATCTCTCCCTCTATGTCTGTTAATGTTTACTTTATATATTTAGGTGCTCTTCTGTTGAGTGTTTAGATATTTAAAATTATGTCTTGCTGGTGGATTGTGCCCTTAATCATTATATAATGTCCTTTATCTTGTTACAGTGCTTGTTTTAAAGTCTATTTTGTCTGCTAAAAGTATTGCTACTTCAATTTTTTTTCACTCCTATTTGCATGGAGTATCTTTTTCCATCCCTTTGGTTTCAGTGCGTGTGTATGTGTTGTTAGGTCTAAAGTGCATCTCTTCTTGTCAGCAAATAGATGGGTCTTGTGTATTTATCCGTTAAGTCACCCTGTGTCTTTTAATTGGAACATTTAGTCCATTTACATTGCAAGTAATTATGATAGGTATGTAGTTACTGCCATTTTTGTTAGATGTTTCCTCATTGGTTTTTTTGTTGTTCTCTGATACTTTCTTCCTCTCTTGCTTTCCCTTGTGCCTTAAGACTTCTTTAGTGTTACACTTGAATTCCCTTCTCTTTGTTGTTTGTCTATCCATTATAGGTTTTTGATTTGTGCTTCCATGGATTCTTACATGATTTACATACATAGCAATGTATGATAAGTTGATGGTCACCTGAATTCTAACACATTCTAACAACACCGTATTTTTTACTCGTTCTCATTTTATGTATATGATTTCTCCTTTTATTCCTCTTTTATTTAGTGATCCATAACTAAGTTTTAGATGCATTTTATTGCTTTTGTCTCTTGGATCTTCATTTTAGCTTTAAAGTGATCTACTGCCATACACATTTGCTTCTGCCAGTGAAATTTTGACTTTCATATTTTTCTTGCTTTTAGTTAGGGTCTTTTCCTCTTAAAGAGGATCCTTTAACATTTCATGTAAGGCTGGTTTAGTGGTGGTGAACACTTTTAACTTAACATTTATCTGTGAAGCTGTTTATCGTCCCTTTTATTTTGAATGATAACTTTCTGGGTAGCATATTCTTGGTTGGAGGTTTTTCTCTTTCAGCATTTTGAATATATCATGTTACTCCCTTCTTTCCTATAGAGTTTCTGCTGAAAAATCAGCTGATTGCCTTATGGGGTTTCCCTTGTAGGTAACTCACTGCTTTCTCTCATTTCTTTTAAGATTCTCTCTGAAATCTTTGGTCTTTGACATATTAATTATGATGTGTCTTGGTGTGGACCTCCTTGGATTTATCGTGTTTGAGGAGTTGTCTGCTTCCTGAACTTGGATGTCTCTTTCCTTCCCTAGGTTAAGGGTGTTTTCAGCTATTATTTTTTCAAGTGATTTCTCTACCCTTTTTCTCTCTCTCTTGTTCTTCTGGGGCTCCTATAATGCAAATGTTTGGACATTTGGTATTGTCCCAGAGTTCCCTTAACTTATCCTCATTTCTTCTTCCTCTTTTTTCTTTTTACTGTGCAGCTTGAGTGCTTTCTTATCACTCCGTCTTCCAAATCGCTGATCTGTTGTTCTGCGTTCTTTAATCTACTGTTGATTCCCTTTAGTGTTTTTTTTTTTCATTTTATTTTTTTTTCTTTTTACTGTGCAGCTTGAGTGCTTTCTTATCACTCCGTCTTCCAAATCGCTGATCTGTTGTTCTGCGTTCTTTAATCTACTGTTGATTCCCTTTAGTGTTTTTTTTTTTCATTTTATTTATTGTATTCTCCATCTCCAATTGGTTCTGTTTTATGTTTCTGTTTCTTTGTAGAGGTTCTCACTGAGTTCCACTCTTCCTTCAAGTTTGGCTAGCATCTTTATAATCATTAATTTGAACTCTTTATCCAGTAGATTGCTTAATTCTGTTTCATGTAGGTTTTTTCCTGAAGGTTTGTTATGTGCTTTTGTTTTGAGCACATTCTCCTGTTCCTCATTTTGGTTGGCTTTCTGTGCTTGATTCTGTGAATTAGAAAAGGCTACTACTCCCATGCTTGAAGGATTGACTGTGTAGGAATGGTAGACTGGGTGTGCCTGGAGGTTTTGGCTGGTTTACTAAAAGCATAGTGAGCATGAGATAGGGGTGTCCTTGTGTCAGGGCTTTCAAGATGTGGTTGGAGGGGGAAACAGTTAGAAGGCCTGATCGGAAAGGCTCCTGAGTGAATACTGATGGATTCCATTCTGGTGAGGATGAAGTGTGTTCAGGTGCACTCTTCAAGGATGAGCAGCGACCAGTGTTGTGTCCACAGTACAGCTGCAAGTGCAGGCCTGACCTCCAGGAAGGTCCTGCCTCTGCATCTACTGGCTCCGCACCCATGAGCAGCAGTGACTTAGGAACTCTCGGCAGACTGTATTGATCGGCTCCACTCCTGTGGTGTAACCCAAGGTCCAGGTGCTGTCTGTAGCAAAGTCTGCCTCCACAGTTACTGGGTCAGCTCCCATGGTGCATTGGTGGTGGGAGTGCACTCTTCAGGGGTCAGGCATGACTGGCTCCACACCCTTGGGGAAGCTGCAGTTCAAATGCACCCTCCCAGCTGTCCTCTGGGTGTGGGCTAGGAAGACCAAGTCTAGACCAAGTCTGAAATTGGGATGTGTGTCCCAACCCTCCTTCTGGTGTCATTATCAATGTGGAGAAGCAGTGCAAACAATGGTATTTGCCAGACCTCCAATCGAGAGAATTCTGGCTGTTCCCTCACCAAATAACTGGTGCTTCAGTTCCAAATACCAGGGTTTTTCACAGTCTAGGTATACTTTAAAGTGTGGCCTATTATTTTTCCCTATGCCCCAGGGCTGGGAATTATGGTTCCTCAGCTGCCTGATTGTTGCACTGGGGGTGACGTTCTGTCCATTACTGCGTCTTTGTCTCTTCTGCCACTTTTTATGTGATCTTTCTATCACTTGTGCAGAAGGTGTTCACTTGGGCCCCAGTTTTTCTTCAAGATGATGACCTCTGTGTGTAGGTGTAGATTCAGTGTAGAGGTGGGTTCAAGCTGTCTCTACACTGCCATCTTCCCATATATCACCAAGGACATATTACATTGTTAACTTATTTCTTTCTTCAATAGGAAAATAAAAAATATTTCAAACGTAGTGAACTTGCAAAAAAAGAAGAGGAAGCATATTTTGAAAGATGTGGTTACAAGGTATGAATGCCTTTTTATGTTAAATTGTATGTTTCTGAGTTTAAATTTATATAGTTGTTAAAGTGACAAAATTATTGATCTCTGTTCAATTTATTAATGTTATACATTAGCCTATAAGTGAGAAGCCATCTGGAGAGGTATGAGTTTTGTTTTTATTTTTTTCTTCTTTTTTTAAACCTTGAATTCAGGAAATACGTGCATGACTTTTGGCTTGGAATGATTTGGCTTTTTGTGGACAGCATGAAGTGGCTTGAGATCAAAGCTTGAATTTTTTTTCTTTAATTAAGTCCTGGATCTGATACTGCTTTGTTTTCATTTCTACCACCACTCCTCTCCCCACCTCTCCCAATAAAAGTCTATTTTTAAAGGGTTCAAAGCAGTTACTCATTCAACAGCAGTGGTATTTTCCCTACTTTTTCCTGAATATTTTAAGACATTGTGTTCATGTTTGCATTGTTAATAATCCCTTTGGCTGTCAGTACCTCTGCCTAAGATATAGTGACATACAACATTTATATGCTTTTGTGTAATAAGGTATTACATTTCAAACACTCCTTAGTTTGCTGGATAGAAAATGTAATCTTGAAATATTTGTTAGAAATAAATGAGTTGTCTGGAAGACTGTATATTTGAGAAGCGTGGCTTAAAAGTACCTTTGAGATTACCTAGTTGAATAATACATTAGGGTTTTTATTGGGAGGGGTTAAAGATTAAGAGGTGAAGTTGAAATTATTTTAAAAGAAGACTGTCTAGTTCAATAATTTTTAAACAAAGTTTCGTGGTGCTATTTAAGTACTTTTACCAAATCATAAATTTGAAATCAACTTTTTGCTTGTGGAAACATCAACAGGATGCTCTTGTGCATGTAATGGGGAAAGTTCTGGAAATTTATCTGGCATAATACTTCTAGAAGGAAGCATGAGGAATGCAAATGATATGTATATGTATTTGCTTTTATTTTGTAGTGTTGGGAGAGGGCAAGTGTTACAAATGTAGGTATATTTCTGATAAGTTTCTAAAATATGAAAGTTTATATTTGTATTTTGACATTTTCCTTAAAAATACTGATTTCATTTGCTTCTAGTTTAGGAAATTACAATACGTTTTATGTACTAACCATCAAATAAATGTTCAGAAAGAAGAATTCTCATCTTTTGCTTGCCCAACATTGTCTAACTCACACTTGTTCTGGGATAAGAATCACTTACCATGGGGTTAGTGTGCTGCCTTATAGCTTTCCCAGATCCCTAAATTTGAACCTTTTCAACTTTTTGATAAGGTAGGAAAATAATTTAAAAGTGACAGTATTTCTTTGTTTAGATTGCTTCAGTTATTTGGCAGTACTTCTTTGCCTTACGTAAAGGAAGCACTGAAGCAAAATAATTGCTGTAAAGAAATTGCATGTAAGGGTGAGTCCCGCTGAAAAAATGTCTTAAGATTATTTCCTTAAAGCTATCAACTGCCATTCTATAGTTAAAAATGCTTTTTAGCCTGAGATTTTTTTTTTTTCATGAAATAACTTTTTATGGTTAGAAAGCACAGGGTTTTCTTTCTAAAACATTTTTAATTTTTCCCTCAGAAGTAATGAAAATAGAGCATGTACTTTGTTCTTTTACAAAAAACTAGTTACCATTTTGTAAAGTTTTATATTGATTTGGCTTGTGAAAATGTGAAGTTTTGTTTCTTACCTCAGTTTTCTGTTAGCACTGTTAACACTGATAACATAACTGTTAACCATAAACTGTAGAATCATAAATTCTGTGATTTTAACCATTAGCCTTTCTTAGTTGAATGTGCATTTTTCCTTAATATTGATCTTCTTTTGTGTTTTTTGATCTTCTTTTGGCATTTTAGATTTGTCTTATGGCCAGATGGGAAACCATGTTTCAATATCTTTTGACAGACTACACAGTGGGGCTTATAAATTGCTGAACTCAATTTTCCTAAACTGATTTGGGCAGCAGACTCAAGACAGTATTTGAAGAGATTTTTTTTCCTGCAGTTTCATTTGAACAAGAATGACTACTCTTTTCTTTGTGTGGTATGAGTAGAGAGGTGTTACTTTTCATTATTTTCCCCAAGGCTCAGCTCATAGTCAGTTGTGGGCAAGTTCTAGATAGCATTGGGAATTCTTCTACATGTTTAGCAGTGATTCTGTGCACTTTAATACCTTTCAAAAAGGAGGGTAGGAAAAAGCTGGAGTTTAAGGTGTCAGAGATTTCTATTGGAAAACAATTCTTTTGTCTTCATTTTAAATCCAGAGCAAGGATCTTGAAGTTGATTATTCTTGAAGAGGAGAAGCAAGTTGATTATTTTTAAGAAAAAAGTAAAATTCCTTAGAATCTAAGAAGAAAATGAGTCTAAATTTTAAGCCTGTTAAGTTTTTGATTTTCAAAACCATTATACTTAAGCCACTGTTTATAGCAAGAACGTTGTCACTTACGTGCATGCTTTCTAATTGTGGTGTTTCTGAAATGGGTATTTTCGATAAGCTTCCAAAAGCCAGTACGTTTATTATGAGCTCTCTCCTCAGAGGAACATTTAGAAAACCTTCAGTACTTAAAACATGCTTCATTTCTATGAATAGCTAATGCATAGAATGAGAAATATTAACTATTATATTTTAAAAGTTTAATTTCATTTCTTTTGGCCATTACTGTAGATACAGCCAAAAGAGGAGGACCAGGAACCATTAACATCATCAAATCCAGTATTGGAACTTGAACTGGCAGAAGAAAAGTTACCCATGACTCTTTCTAGGCAAGAAGTAAGTTTATATATGAATATTTTGTGAAACAAAGAAAAATCTTCATAAGATTTGCATTTACTTACACTTCTTTTCAGTAAGTTTTATGTCATTATTTCCCATACAAGATGACTTACTGAACTAAATTACTCTGTAGCCAGCCAGTTCTAAATTAATTTCTGCTTTTCTGGATGCTGCCTTAAACATTAAAATAATATAGCCTTCTAAACTTTGAAAAACATGTTCTAAGTATAATTGAGTGGATATATTCAAAATAATTATGAATTAAAATACATACCATTTTGTAACATTCTCTTAATATGTCTTTCTAGGTAAATATAGAGAGATCTGTATAATTGTTTATGACTGTGTAATTTCCCATACTAATTTTAAATAGTTATTATTTTTAAAACCAGTTCTTTATTTATGGTCATTGAGATTGCTTCAGTATTTTCCTGTTATAAATGAGACTAAGATGAACATCCTTATATAGCCATCATTGTATGCATAGTTATGATTATTTCCTTTGGAAAATTTTCTAGAAGCATGATTTCTAGGGTCTGTGGACTAAAGACTATGTACATTTCTAAGACTTTGGTACATTGCCTCAGTGGACTCTAAAGACCTGTTATTCCAGTATATACTCTCTCCCACAGTGTTTGCCCATACTTCCCTTAAAAAAACAAAAATAGCAATATTTTAAGATACTAATGTGATATAAAGAAAGAATCAGACTACATAGAAGGGCATAAACCAAAAATGAATTTTGAACAAAAAGAAACTTTCAGGGGAAAGGATGGCTGACTAGAAACTATCATGTGAAAATTATATGAAGGAGTTTTGAATGCTTAGCCCGAAGATAATATTAGACTTAAAAAAAATCCATTGACAACAGCTCTGATTTTGAAAAAAAAATTGAGGATTCTTTGTGATCTTATGTAGAACTAAGATAATGGGTAGAAGTTTGAGATGCAAAACATACCTATCCAAAAATGGGATGTGCCTTTTCATAAGAGATGTGATCCCTGTCATTTGTCAGACAGGGACCTCACAAAGATGTTTTTGAGATCGTTTCTACATTGATGCGAGATAGCACTAGACGATTTCTTAAGTCTCTTTTTAATACCAACCTTCAGTTAACCCAGTGGGAGCTCTGTCAGTCATTTCTAAGTGTAATACTGTTTATGTTCGCAGATAAAGTTCTTGGTTGTTTTGAAATTTGGAGTAACCTTTATTTTCAATTAACAGTTTTTGTTTCTTTTAATGAAATAGAACATGTATACAAAGACTGTATAAAATATGCCTGTGCAATATAACGGATAAGGACAAAACAGCTACCCATAGAATGATCACCCATCAGTAAATTATTATCAGTCCCTCAAAAGCCCTACATATGCCCTTCTCTAATCATAACTCATTACTCTTCTGAGGGATAAGTTTTTCGTTTTGATGTATTGTTGTGATAGTAATTCTTGGCTATTGCCATTGAGTTATCAGCTGACTCCAGACCTTATTTTACTTTGCTTCTCTATGTAAATGTTATCACTTCTATCTTAATGTTTTTTTGTGTGTACTCTACTACAAAGATCCTGAAACAAAGGACCCAAACCATTAGGGTTCTTTAAGATGTGATAATAACTTAGTATTTCTTATCTGTTCATGGAAAATTAAAAAAAAAAAACTTTTCACATGTACATTTCAAAACAAGTGTTTTGCTACCTTAAATAGGAATTAACTATTACCAACAACATGAGGAATTATTATTGTCTTTTGATATATTTTTTTCATAGGTTATCCGAAGATTGAGAGAAAGAGGAGAACCAATCAGACTATTTGGAGAAACTGATTATGATGCCTTTCAACGTTTAAGAAAAATAGAGATTCTCACACCAGAAGTTAACAAGGTAAGATCCGAGAACTTGAATTATCACTGTACCATGTAAACTAGAATAGTGTGGAGTTTGAAGGAGTTTGCCTAATTGCATTATTTTACACAAAAATGGAAAAATAAAGTCAGAGTACTGTTGCTGAATGTAAGTTTTTTTTAATTTTTTTACAAAAGCACGTATCTTAAGCATATAGTTCAGTGCATTTTGACAAGTTCATATGAATGCGTAACCACCATATCCTTATAAAGAAACAGAACATTTTCACTATACACTAAAGTTCCCCAGTGCCTTCTCTTAGCCAGTCCCAATATTGCTCCTCCTCTACTCCTGGACAACCATTTTGTTTAATTCTATCACCATGGGTTGATTTTTGCTTGCTTTAGTATTTCATATGGCTGGAGTCTAGTTTCTTTTGCTCAACATACTATTTTTTAAATTGATCCAAGTTATTACAGAGATCATTAGTTTGTACTTTTCATTGCTGATTAACTTGATTGTATGAATATTCCACAATTTGCTTTCAGTTTTGTGCTATTAAGAATAAAACTATGCACATGTTACACAACTTTTTTGTACCTAGGTTATTTCAGTTGGGTAAATATGTCTGTCTCTTGGTAAATACCTAGAAGTGCAATTGCTGAATAGTTAAGAATAAATGTTTGCTTTTTAAGAAATGCTAAATATTTCCAAATGTTATCAGCATTTGTTACTGTTTTAAATTTTAACCATTCTCTTGTATGGATGATGGTACCTCAGTGTGGTTCTAGTCTCAGTTCCTTGATGACAAAAGATTAAGAGCATCTTTTCATAGACTTATTTGCCATATCTTTCTCTGTGCAGTGTGTATTAAATTTTTTGTCCATGTCTTAATTGGGTTGTTTGTCTTTTTATTTGAACTATAGGTGTTCTTTATATGTTCTGGATACAATTCCTCAGTCAGATGCTTAGTCAGATGAATTCCTTATGTATTCTGGATATCAATCCTTATCAGACACACGATCTGCAGATATTTTCTCCTATTCCATGGGTTGTCTTTCACTCTATTCATAATATTTTTGACACACAGTTTTTAATTTTGATGAAGTCCAAGTTACCTGTTTTTTCTTCTGTTGTCTGTACTTCTGGAATTGTATCCACAAAATCATTGCCAAATACAGTATTAAGGAGCCTTTTCTCTATGTATTCTTCTAAGAGTTTTATAGTTTTAACTCTTACATTTAGGTCTTTGATCCATTGTGAGTTAATTTTGCATATGGTATAAGGTAGGGGTCCAGCTTTAAGGCTTCCATTTTTTTCAGATGGTCGCAAGTTGGATGTGAATGAAATGTGGAAGTTGCTGGTATGTTAGAAATGTAGTAAAAGCCTAGGATATAGATGAGACACTAGTTTAATTCTCTTGATATTTCTGAGTGTTTAGAAGTTCAAAGTAGTTGCAATGAGGTTAGACATTTTAACTGGGAAAAATGAGTTGGGGACTCTAGTGGAGGTCTGGTCCCTCTCACTAGGCCTCATTAGAAAAATTACAGCGCTTACGAATATTGTTAAGGTTGATAATGCATGTATGTTTTAGTTTTCTGATCAGACTAGCTATTGTGCATACATTTTTAAAAATTTGAATATATTCATAAGAATTTGAATAGTGATGACAGCTGTATAATAAATTGAAATCTTACTTGAGTCTCTAGTTTAACTGAGCTCGTAACTCCTGGTGGGAAAAAAAAAAGAACTGTACTTATTTTTAGACAAAAACCAGTCAAAAGTAACACTTCAGTGAAATTTCATCCAAAGTGTAATTTTTTACCTTTTCTCAGGGATTGAGGAATGATCTGAAAGCAGCTTTGGATAAGATTGATCAACAGTACCTCAATGAACTTGTAGGTGGTCAAGAACCCGGAGAGGAAGACACACAGAATGATTTGAAAGTTCATGAAGAAAACACCACAATTGAAGAGTTAGAGGTAATCTCTATACCTACCTTGTTTTATCCCCCATCACACCTTTCATTCCCTAGAGCAGACAGACAGTTGAGTTCATTAGATTGTCAACTCAGAGCACACTGTCATCTATGGTCATTACAAAGGCCCTTCTTTTATTTCATGTTTTTATTTACTTACTCCTGTTGTTCTTACTTTCCATCTCTCCATTCACATTCCCTGCTTCCTGCCTTCAAGAATAATCACTCCAGTATGTTCACTGTATATCTTTTTATTCGTTGGTCTTTTAAAACCAGTAGTGTTTATATGTTTGTGATAATACATAATTGATACTGTATTGTGAAGTTCTTCATACTGTTTTTTACTTTCTTTTTTCCACTTACAACTGTTTATGAGATCCATATTTGATGCCTTAATACATCTAAACCTAAAAAGAAACCTCATATCTGTTAGCATTCACACCTGTCCCATTCTTTTGATTCATAAAAGATAACATGCTCTTTATATTAAATGGCAGATGAGTGGTTTTTTTTTTTTTAACTTATCTACAGATTCCACCAGGTTTTTAAATAGAAATTGGACAGTGCATGTAATAAGGAACCAAGCTTAGACTGGTGTTGATAACATATATATTCAGTTGTTGCTGTTTACTAATGAACAGAATCATTGTTTTTCTTAAGGCATTGGGAGAGTCTTTAGGAAAAGGGGATGATCATAAAGATATGGACATCATTACCAAATTCCTTAAGGTATGTACTTTTTGCTAGGAAAGAAGGACATTTTGATCAGTTAAGAACTGTTCTTATATTTTTGGAGTATTTAAAGCTTAAAGTCTGGGAGGGGAAATCCTCAGTAAAAAACATGGCTTGCATGTACACTGCTTATGATACTGCTGTGCACTGGATGTAGAAGTTAATCAAAGGAAGGGTATATTTGCTTTACTTGTGGCACTTCTTTAAAACTGACTTAAAACACAGAAAAGAATCACAGCATTGGAATGACCAATTAAGTTTTTATAAAAGTGTTGTTAAGAGTAGTGCAGTGTGGGGAGGAATTCAAGAATCTTTTATGAGAAGTGATGGATGAAGCAAGAAAAGGAAGGAAGTGGGAAGACATTGGCAGTGAAAAGAGCAAACACGTCAGGAACCTTTCAGAGACTGTACATTTTGTCATTTCTACAGAGAGCTGTTTATTTGTTCTTTGATTAACTAAATTCCATCTTTTTTCTCAGCATTTCTCTCTTTACTGGTTTAGGTAGAGTATGCAAATCTCATATTCATTTTAGCATTTATTCACAAACTATTTGTGTTCAGGCTAAGAGATTTAAATGGAAGAATTTTTTCTATTTTATTTAGAGTTTAAATACAGTATATTAGTCACCAAGGTTCTCAGTCTTTTAAAGACATACCATGGAATTACCCAGGACATGGTAACTAATATGAATTAGAATTTCCTCTTGGAGTAACAACCTCTCTTTATATAGGATATGCATACATAATGCACTAGGGGAGTACATCCTTTTTAGCCTTCACTGTTTGCTGCCTCCTAGAAAGGGTACTCTTTGTGCAGTTAAACCCAAGAGGCACTAGGATAGTTTTCTAGGGGATGGGCTGTAGTTACCTTTATTTCCTTTTTTCCTTCCTTCTTTTTTAGTCATGTGCTTTAGTGGGAATGTTTAATTGAATTGTGATCTCTACCACAAAAATAGAAACCTCAAATACAGGCATGCCTGGTTTTGTTGTGCTTTACTTTATTATGCTTTGCACATACTGTGTGTGTGTGTGTCACAAATTGAAGGTTGGTGGCAACCCTGTGTCGAACAAGTCTATCAGTGCTATTTTCCAGCAGTATTTGCTCATTTCATGTCTCTCTGTCATACTTTGGTAATTCTCACAAAATTTCCATTTTTATTCTGGTGATCTGTGATCAGTGATTATGACTCACTGAAAGCCCAGATAATAGTTAGCATTGTTTTAGCAGTAAAGTATTTTTAAATTATGTCAGTTGCTTTTTTAGACACAATGGTATTGCACACTTACTAGACTATAGTATAGTGCAAACATATATGCACTGAGAAGCCAAAAATTCATTTGACTCACTTTATTGTGATAATCTGGAAGTGAACCTGTGGTATCTGAGGTGTGCCTATACTATAGCATACTTGGAAGATCGATTAAGTATCACAGCACATAGGGTATTATGGCTGATAAATGTAGGTGGGTTGAACTTTATGTAGAGTAAAAAGATTTTTTCTATCAGTTACCCATGAAATACGATAGTTCTTTTTAGGGGAAAATGGAATATCTGTGAGCTGGGGGGTGGGGGGTGGTTGTGTGTGTGTGTGTGTGTGTGTGTGTGTGTGTCTTTGTTTATAGATATATATATTTCTGTACTTATATAGATATAGAAAACAGTGTGTATGTGTGTCTATAGAATATGTATAATACATATTATATATAATACATAGATAATATATACATGCATACATATAATACTATATATGTAATTTATTATATAGAGAGAAGCTAGGGAAGTTTGTGACTTATCAGAGGTACTATTTGAAAACATTGATGACAAAATAAGCAGAAATAGTTCATTAATTAAATGTTAGTCAATGATATTTTAATCAGTCAAGAAATTTGCGCTGAGGGCAACAGTACACTGTTTTGTGTGTTAAAGAACTTTTAAACTTACTGAACCACTGGGGCGCATTGTAGTCTAAATTTACCCCTTCTTTCAACAGTTTCTTCTTGGTGTTTGGGCTAAAGAATTGAATGGCAGAGAAGATTATGTGAAACGCAGTGTGCAGGGTAAACTGAACAGTGCCACTCAAAAACAGACTGAGTCCTATCTCAGACCCCTTTTCAGAAAGCTCCGGAAAAGGGTGAGGTTTCTCAAAAAATGCTTTTATTAACTGATTTTTAAAAAACAGAATATATGAAGTTAGAATAAATGCAGTCTGTAACTACACAACAACTTCCAAAATGAGTTATGCTTTTTTTCACAGAATCTTCCTGCTGATATTAAGGAATCCATAACAGATATCATTAAATTCATGTTGCAGAGAGAGTATGTCAAGGTAGGTTATCATGCTATGCATAAAAATTTTGGTTATGAGCATATATCTAAGTTGTGTGCATAATACATTCAGTGTGGGAGTATTTTACATAGGCCTAAGGATAAATGTGCAGTGAAGTAGTAGTGAAAAAACCCTTTTATTTTCTAATGTATTGTCAGCTTTATTGTTAGACATTGATAATACACTTTGAGACCGTGCTTTTTTTAAAGTTATTTTTAAGGTATATGTAAAAATCCTTCAGAGCAAGGACTGGATATAGGGAATGCTTACTTCATGAATGGGATTGAATTTCAAAGGTTGTTGATTATGGCTTAGAACAAGTTTTCCCATAGAAAAAGTGTTGTGTAGACTAGTTTCCCAGGCCTTCTGAAAGCCTACTTAATCCATAATATAGCTGAACTATTGTACTAATGGTACAATGGAATTTAACCACCCTTTGTACTTATTCCTGTAGAAAATGTTCCAAGGGAGACTGCCATACTTCACTTCACCCACTTCAGTACTGCGACAGAAGACCCTTAGAGAAGACTTTCCCTTGCTCCCGTGTCTAAACTGAATGGGTTCTGGGAGGGGGTGGCAGAGGGAAAGACTCTGGGGTCTAAATGCTTCTGGGGTAGAGGTAGGAAGGGGAAAGTGGAAGGTTGCCTATTGGTTGAAGGAGCAAGAAGAGAAGGACCTGCTGCACCCATGGTGATGGGCAGTGTGCTGCTGCTGTGCATTGTGCACTGTGTGTGGGTAGGAGGCATCCGGTGGCTGTGCTTCCCAGAGAGGAGATACAGAGAATTTCAGTGCAGCGGTCCCAGGGATGATTCTAGAGTAGTAGATGGGGCCCACCTCAAGAGGGGGAATGATGTTGCTTATTCCTTTGCTCTGAGTCTCTGTGCTCATATGAAGGGACTGCTGGTATCCTGGGTGACTAGATGGTCTGATGCATGAGGCTAAAGGAGTGATTTTACTCCCTCTGTATCAGAAGCAGTTTTATCAAAGAAATGCTTTTGGTTTTGGCTGTAAGTTTTATTCTTGGATAGTTTAAGTTGCACAGTGTTTACTGAGGGTGATTGCACTGGAATGGATAATGAGGTCACTAGCTGCAAAATGTTCCAGTCGCCTGCTAGAGAGGATGCCTTTCCTCTTGGTACTCTTCTCACATATGAGAATCAAGTGACAGTTTTTCTCTCTCTCTTCCTCTTGTTTAAACTACAGAAAGAACCAGGAAATGGAAATTTGGGGAAACTAATTATTGGAAATTTTATCTGTTTATATCCAGTGTTAAAATGTACACATATGAGAATCAGTGGTAAAAAAGTCTGTATGCCTTTTTAAAAAAAATTAAGGTATCATTGGTATACAATATTAGGAAGATTTCACACGAGCAACATTGTGGTTTGAACATTCACCCATATTATCAAGTCTTCCCCCCACCCTATTGCAATTTCTGTCCATCAGCATAGTAAGATGTTATAGAGTCACTACTTGTCTTCTCTGTGCTGTACTGCCTTGCCAGTGACAGACCTATATTGTGAGTGCTAATTATAGTGCCCCTTAAATCCCCTTCTCCCTCCTTTCTGATCCACACTCCTTACCCTCGTCCCTTTGGTAACCGCTAGTCCTTTCTTGGAGTCGGTGAGTCTGCTGCTGTTTTGTTCCTTCAGTTTTGCTTTGTTGTTATACTCCACAAATGAGTGAAATCATTTGGTATTTGTCTTTCTCCACCTGGCTTGTTTCATTGAGCATAATACTGTCTAGCTCCATCCATGTTGTTGCAAATGGTATGATTTGTTTTCTTTTATGGCTGAATAATACTCCATTGTGTACACATACCACATCTTCTTTATCCATTCATCTACTGATGGACACTTAGGTTGCTTCCATTTCTTGGCTGTTGTAAGTAGTGCTGTGATAAACATAGGGGTGCATATGTCTTTTTTTTAAAATTTTGATATTATTAATATACAATTGCTTGAACAACATTATGGTTACTAGACTCCCCCTATTATCAAGTCTCCCCCCACATACCCTATTACAGTCACTGTCCATCAGCGTAGTAAGATGCTATAGAATCATTACTCGTCTTCTCTGTATATACTGCCTTTCCCATGTCCCCCCTGGTACATTATGTGTGCTAATTGTAATGCCCCTTTTTCCTCCTTATCCCTCCCTTCCCACCCATCCTC